CCTCACGTTGCTGAACTTCTCTCTGGTTTTTGCTGTACCTTGCTTTGCTCTGAATTGCGATGACAATTTCCTGGCTATTCCCTCATAATACCATTTTGCTGGTAAAGCCATTGGCGGTTTTGTTTTTTTCATCACCAGCAGTCTGCACCAGCTGCATCTCTCTAGACATCCTGACTCAGCCCTGCAGTGAACAAGCCGCTGTGCAAATCTGCTCCTCAAATGCCCGGCTCTGGCAGGTTCCAGCTCCCGTCCTCTCATTTTCTCCACCCATCAAATAGAAACAATAATAATTCCGCCTATCTCCTGGAGTTAGTGTTAGCATCAAACAACAGTTATTTCACTGAAAACACGGAGAACAGTAAATATACAGTAAAATCTTCACTTCTAACTCCTTAGCTCTGTAGACTTCAGGTATTAGCATAGAATTTTCCAACAAGGCATCCTGGTAGATCAGAGGTTGGCAAGTTTTTTCTGTAAGGGACCAGACAGTAAATATTTCAGGCTTTGGGCCATACGGTCTCTGTTGTTGCTAAACCCTAAAACTAAACTCTGCTGTTGAGTGTGAGAACAGCCATATGGCACTGCTGTGTTCCAATAAAACTTTATTTACAAAACAGAATGGGTTTGCCGGCTCTCGTTTACAAATGATCTGGGGTCCAGCAGTCACCCACAGCAACACATATCTGGAGTCTCTCACTTCTTATCTATCTGGCAAGCGTCATCTGAATTTTGCAGCTTACATCATAACCTCGCTGGGTTTAATATAATTTTTTTCTTTTCATCCAATCTGCATAGAAAACGAATGCTTTGGGAAGATGCTTGTGTTTATTCTCTGCCTTTGCGAGCCCCCCTGGCCCACTGCTTTGTGAGTGATTGCTGACAGGTGCCTGCAACTGACAAGCACAATTGGGAGCTGCTGGGAAGGAAACTCCTCTCCCAAGAGACAGAAGTAGGAGGGAAGAGATCTGCTACTAGGAGTCCAGGGTGTGAAGTCAGTAGAGGTAATAGCGCCTCCTATTCACAAATCTCTTATTTTGCTGGTTTGCCAGGGAGCACGGGAAGGCAGGTGCCCTTTTACGGATGAAACCGAGACTGAGAAGTGACTCAGCCACTGCCTGTCGGTAGCTCAGACTTAGCCTTCGCTTCTGCTGACCGTAGTTTATGATGCAACACCTATGACTCCGGGCAATTGCTTCCCTGCCCTGATTCTTCACCCCTCCCTGCAGGGATACCTTTACCGTGTACCTTTGCGGTGACCTCCCTGGGAGGTGACAGACATGGGAGCTGAGTGGCTTCAGCCAGACCCAGACCAGATCAGCCAACAACTCCCTCCCAGACGTGTGAGTAATTCTAGTCCAAATCGGTGGGACTGCCTAAGTGACCCCGACCTGGCCCAGATGTGTGAGCAGGAAATGCTTGCGACTGACGTCACTCTGCGTGTGTGTTTGTGTGTGCGTGCACGCTGTG